GCGTCACAAACTGCTCGTCGGCTCGGGCGTAGATCACAAAAGCGTCGTATAGCTTCTCACTGTGCGGCACGCAGTGGTTGCCATGGCTGAAACCGTGACCTCGACGGCTACCGCCGCCGCCCTCACCCCCGCCGCGACAGAAACCGCAGAAACCGGAGTCAAAGAGGCGAATTCCGTAGCGCCAGAAGAACCACAGCTGAATGTCCTTTTTCCGGCGAATGCCGACAGCGGCCAGCCCGGAAAGGACCACCACCGAGCAGAGGAGCACCAGCGAGAAGACGATATTGGCGCTGATCCAGTTGAAGAAGGAGTTCTGCTCTGCCGCTGATGATGAAGAAGGCTGCTGCGACTGATGCACATTACGACTCTCTGAGGTGTCTGACGTCAGATCGGGCAGCTCAGAGAGGCCAGGAATGCCGGCGCCATGTTTGGTGACCGTGTCAATGGGACGGTACTGAATCGGAGTTCCGTCCTCTGAATCTCCGTCCTCTGACTGGCCGTAGTTGGGACCACTTGGCTTGGGCGGTGCGTAGACGCCTTTCGAGTAGTTGGGCAGCTGTTGTTGTTGGTGGTGGTCAGTTGGACTGTTGTTGTTGTTGCCGTTGCCGTTGCTGTTGTACGATGGAACGCCCGCCGGTCTCACTGCCTCGGCACTGTTGGGCGAAAAGGTGGGCAGCATGTGGGCGCTGAGGTTGCACCGACCGAGGATCGCCTGCTCAATGTCCTTCAGGTGACGCAACAGGTGCACGGTGGCTGACTGATTCTCCTTGGCCGGCTGCTGAAGACAGCGCACCTCGTAGGCGTCGGTGATGTGCAGCTGCAGGGAAACCACCGGCAGAGTGTCGTAGAGCATGGCCATGCTACCGCAGGAGTCACAGGCCCAGGGATTGGAGGACAGACTGACGGAGAGGTAGCGAGAGTGGTAGGCGCTGTTTGAGGCAAAGTCCAGCGAGCCGAAGAGGCCCGAGGGTGAGAACCAGTGGCCGAAGGTGGTCAGGCGGTTGTGGTCGAGGCGGAGCAGCTGGAGAGAGCGCAGCGTGGCGAAGGTCTTCTCGTGGACGAAGGCAATCTGGTTGTACTCCAGGTGGAGGGTGGTCAGGTAGAGCAGGCCCTCGAATTCGAAGCCGTTCAGGGTGGTGAGCTGGTTGTGCTCCAGGTGGAGCTCCTCGAGGTAGACGAGGCCGTTGAAGGAGCGGTTGGCGATGCTCTCCACGCTGGAGTGATTCAGATGGAGGACGCGCAGGTTCTTCCGGCCGATGAAGGTGTGCGCATTGAGGGCGAATAGCTGATTGCCGTCTAGGTAGAGGGAGGTGACGTCCATTGGGATGCGCGGCGGGACGTTGCGGTAGTTGGCGGCACTGCAGTCGACGATGTTCGTGTTCCACGTTTGGTCGTAGTAGCAGGTGCAGTTTTCCGGGCACATCATCTCGCAGTCGCAGGCGTCAAAGTCGCAGCAGTGACACACTGTGAAGCAGTGCGTCCGATAGCGACAGAGGAAGTTGGAGGAGTTTGCCTGCAGCAGGGGCACCTGAACAACGGCAGCTTTCAGTGGAGCTACTTCAGAGCCTGACCCTTTTCCCGCCTGGTCAACTACTGCTGAAGAGGCAGCAGCAGCAGCGGCAGCACTGGTGGCGGCCACCGCTTGCCGGGTGAAAGGCAGCTCACAGTTGACCTCCTCCAGGTCGCCAATCCTCGGATAGGTGGAAATAGCCCCCGATCCGGTGACTCCGCCCACCAGCTGGTTGACCCGCTGCAGCCACTCCATGGTGCAGTCGCAGTAGTACGGATTGCCGGAGATGAGGAAGATGGGCGGCGGGAGGTACTTCGCGTCAAAGGTCGCATCACTACCACCACCATTTAGGTAGTAGTGGTCACCGCCGGCGCCACCACCACCACCAGCGCCCCCTACTGGCCGATTGAGAAAGTAGGAAGAGGTGGGCCGCTGTACGCCCAGCTTGAAGGCGGTGTTGTCGATGCGCCGGAGGGAGTTGTTGCGCATATCCACGTAGGTGACGTTGTGCTTGGCGACGAAGGCGCCGGCGTCCACCTTCTCGATGCGATTCGAAAAGAGGTTCAGCGTGCGGATGGAGTGGGGCACCGAGGTGGCGGCGATCTCCTTGATCAGGTTGTACGACACGTCGAGGTTCTCCAGGCGCAGCTTCGCCTCCAGCTCGTAGTAGTTGCGCAGCTGTTCGATGCGATTGTGCGACAGGTCGAGGGAGCGGAGGCTGGAGGGCACTACCGAGTAGTCGAACCAGGTGATGGCGTTGTGGGAGACGTTCAGTGACTCCAACCGCTCCAGCTGCTTGACGTGCGCCAGGGCGCTGGAGATGTCGGCGAACTCGTTGCGATCGAGGCGGAGCACCGCCAGCGAGCCTTTCAGGTCCTCCAGGGTGTTCTTCTCCAGCGATCTCAGGCGGTTTCCGTCCAGGCGGAGCTCCAGCAGGGTGCCGCCCAGCGGGCGGAAGGCGTTTCGCGTCACATTGACCAGGTAGTTTTTGGAGAGATCGAGACGAGCTAGTTGGCTGGTGTGCGACAGGGGGCCCGGCTCGGTGAGGGTGACCAGCTTGTTGCCGGAGAAATTCAGTGTGGTGAGCGTTCGAAGGGCGCGAATGGCGGTGGGAAGGGTCGTCAGGCGATTGTCGTTGATGTCGAGTTTCTGGAGAAGGAAAGGAGAAAAAACGGCAAAAAATGAAAAAGGGTGAAAAAGTGAGCGGCGTAATTAGAGTGCATATTTTTGTGCGCTAATTGATTCATTAGGAGAAGGAAAAGGAGAAAAAGTGAGAAGCTGCCGACAAAGTGCTACAAGCAGTGCAAGTGCCAGGAAAAAAGGAGAAAATGTGCGAGCCCACAAAAAGTGTGCAAGAGTAGTGTGCCAGAGTAGTGTGCCCTCTCTTTTTAGCAACAGAATACCAATTGACTGTTGGCACATTCGGAGGCAAAGGAGAACCTTGCAAAATCCCTGCAAAGCTGCAGCAACGATGATGAGCGATGAGTGCAAATGCACGTCAGTGCATGTGCTGCTGCTGCTTTTGCATTTGCACAGTGCCTATGCATTAATTAAGAAATAACATCTGCGAAATGAGCCGTGACAAGTGTGTGTGTGTATGTGTGTGTGTGTGCTGCCTGCACAGTCTGCTTCAGGCTGTGGCAGAGATGGCGAGATCCTGGCCCCCACACTCACTCTCTAATTACGATCTTTCACCTCTCTCTGACAATAATTATGACGCCGACGGCTGCTCGGAGGACCTTCCTTAGTGCTCAAACCAGAAAAAAGTGTCAACGCACACACACACACACATGCTCAATTGCAAATTTTGACATTTACAGGGCGAAATAAAATAAAAAAGGTCAAATTAACTAGCTACTACTGCTTAATGCTTTAATTAAACTTTTGGCCTGCAAAATCAGAAATTGATATTGTTGCAGAAACAAAGAAGGGCACCACACTGTGTTATCACACAGTAGAAAACAACTGTGTGTGTTGAATGTGCATCTATGGCCATCTATCTATCAGTCTTTTGGTTAGGCGACAGATGTGTAACATCGAGGACACTCTTTCTGTTTTGTCTAGCCTGTGTGAGTGTGTGTGTGTGGGCCTAAAGTGGAAGTTCAATGATCGGCGGTAGTGTTTGCCAGCTGCTTTCACACTAGTGTTTACGGGAGAAAGCGTGTGTTTGAGTGTTTTTCACATTGCACGTTCCCTCCGATCAATGTCTGCTGGAGCCTAAGTAGTCTGCTAAATACTCTGGCGCACTCCAGTCTTTTTGCGAGTTTTTCCTATTAAAATGAGGCATTCCCTCCTTGTGCTTTTTAGTGCTAAAAGTTTGCGCCTCTTTAAAACACACATTGCATCATTTACTAGCAAACTGCACCAGCAAGCGAACCACTAATTAGCGAAAACACTGTCAACTAACTGAAAAGGAGAGAGCGAGCGAGCTCGAACGAGCCACTTTAACAAAAAGCGCGCAAGAAAAGGGCCACTTTGCAATTTTAAACTCTAGAGTGATCGATCCATTAAACTACTACTACTGTTACAACACAGCTACTACTTTTGCTAAACTACTTGAGCGCAAAAGTGTACTCTACAGCACAAAAGAAAAACTGGGTTTGTCGCTTTTGAAAAGTGGCAGCGCGCATCTTAAATTCTAAGTGGTGGTGGTGGTGGTGGTGGCACTTACCTGGAGATTGGTGCAGTTTCGAAAGGCCTCCTCGTGAAGGTGCTCCAGCTGGTTGCCCGCCAGTGAGAGGGTGTTGAGCATGAAGAGGCCGGTCATGGCGGCGTCGGAGAGGTGGCGGAAGCGATTTCCGGCCAGCTTCAGCGTGTGCAGGTTGTAGAGGGTGACAAAGGCGCCGTCGTCGACCGTCTCCAGGACGTTCCCCTCCAGCGAGAGCACCTGCAGCGAGTACTGGTTCTGAAAGGTGAAGGCGCTGATGTGGCGGAGGCGGTTCCGGGAGAGGTCGAGGACGACGAGGCGAATCAGGTCGGCGAAGGTCTCCTTGTTGAAGGTCTCCGAGGTGATCTGGTTGCCGGACACGTCGAGGACCAGCAGTTTGGCGAGCATCTTGAAGAGGCCCACCGGCAACTCCATAAGGCCGTTGTTGGCCAGCCGCAGGACGGTCATCTCCGAGTCGCGAAAAAGGCGGCCGGGCAGGGAGCGCAGCTGATTGCCCGACAGGTCGAGCATGTTGAGGTTCTTCAGCGCGGAGAAGGCCAGCTCGGCGATCTCGGAGATGTGGTTTGAGGAGAGGTTTAGGTACTTGAGGTTGCGCAGCGTCGCCACGCCGCTGTTTTCCGGCACCAACTCCAGCTTGTTGTGGGAGAGGTCGAGGTCGAGGAGCTCCTGCAGGCAGAGGCGGCCGGTGGCCGGGTCAATCAGCCCAAAACTGCTCAGGTCGGGCAGGCGGTTTCCGGTCAGGTTGAGCGTGCGCAGGTTGACAAAGGGGCAAAAGAGATCGGCGGGCAGGCGGTCCAGCTGGTTCATGCCCAGGTCGAGGTACTCCAGGTGGGCCTCCACCGGCCGGAAGGAGGTACTCTCCACGGTGAAGGAGGGAGCAGTTGTTTCAGAAGTGGACGACTGCGGGAAGACGGCATTGCGAATGGTGAGGTTGCGCAGTGAGGGCAGTCCCCGGAAGGAGTCCGAAGGGAGGCTGTCCAGCTTGCAGCCGTCAATGGAGAGGGTGTTGAGGAAGCGGAGGTGCTCAAAGGGGCCCGGCGGGGGCAGTGAGGATCGCATTCCTCCAGTGTTCCCTCCTCCGTCCTGGCGCAACGTCGACCGGTCGCCATTTCCGCTGTTGAGATCATCACTACTGCCACCAAAGCAGCCGATGGCCAGCTTGACTGTGTGCTCCGGCTCGATCATGCTCAGGTTGAGGGTGTAGGGCGTGAGGGAGCTGACGGAGCAGCGCAGCGACACGTCAAAGTCGCTGACGCCTCCGGAAAGGGAGGATTGCGACTCGAGGTGGTGACCACCTCCTGAAGAGAAACTGGGGTGATGGGGAAGAAGGTGGTGGAGATGAGGGTGATGGTGGTGAAGTGAGGAGGAAGAGGACGCCGAGTTGAGGGCTGACTTGAGGCGCATATCACGACTGGACGCAAAGGAGGGCGGCGACACGTGGGTCCAGGTGCAGGGCCCGGGGGCGATGTAGTGCCGCGCCAGGGCCGGACTGGGCAGCGTCACCGCCAGGAGGAGCATCATCACACTGAGCAGGCTGAAGGAGGCCGTTAGCCAACAGCTAGCCATTTTTGGACTGGCACTTTCTGTCCTTTTCCTTCTTCTTGAGCTGTACAGCAGCTCACTTTCTGCAATTGGCTCTCTGGTGACATCTCTTCTGCAAAGTCTATTTCTCCACCACCACCTTTCACTGGCCGTTTCACTGTGGTATTTGGCACTGCTCACCTGGTGGTGGTCGTGCTGGTGTTGGTAGTGCTGAGATCTAGATGGTCGGTTTGAGCTCATGTCATTTTTGGGTGATGAGCACATTTCACTGGTGGTAGAGTTGGTGCAGCTGTGAGTGCAGTTTTTGCTGTTTCTGTTATTGTTGATACCGTCGAAGAATATCACAGAGTCAGCGGTATCATTTGCCATCATGCGCAGCTGATTGCATTGCTCATAAAAGACTTCAGGAGGACTGCATCTCTGGGGCTCTCTGAGACAGCAGGAGCAAACCCGATCTTTAAGTCGGGTTTGCTGAGAAGTGGCGCGAGTCATCGTGCTGTGAGGCAGAAGACGCACTTCCTTGCGCTTCTTCTTTGAACTGTGATACGTCCGATAGTCACTGATTCCCGTCGACATGGAAAAAAAGAGTTGATAGCAGTCAGTGGGGCTTATTCATGGACAATGACAACGCGTTTTAAAGCTAAATTCTGAAATGTGCTTAAGATGAAAAAAGCGCAGAATAGTAGAATTGGGGCAGAGGAAAACCAATGGCCAAAAACAAAAGGCGAGCAAAANAACAATGACAACGCGTTTTAAAGCTAAATTTTGAAATGTGCTTAAGGTGAAAAAAGCGCCGAATAGTAGAATTGGGGTAGAGGAAAACCAATGGCCAAAAACAAAAGTCGAGCAAAAACGATGAAAATTAGAATCGAGCCGAGACTTTGAGGAGGCACGCTGCTACACACTGCAACGCACACTGTGTGTGTTTTATTGTTGCTGTTGTCGTTGTTTTTTTGTTGTTGTCGCTGCTGGGCTGAATGAAGAAGAAGAAGAGAAACTGCTGGCCCATTAAGTGGTTAGGGTGCCATTTCTCATCTCATTGCCACTCTCTGGTAATCGAGCACTAAATAGGCTTCCTTCTCAGTGATCAACAAGAGGCAGTAGTTGTAGTGGTAGTTGCTGTGACAAACAAACGACGACAATGACAAAAGGAGAGAAGGCAAGAAGACAAGGCAAACGTCATAAAGAAGAAGAAGAAGAAAACGATGAATTCAGCAATGCGCTTCGTTGCATTTGCTCCGTTGTTTTGCTTTTCTGTTTCTGCTTCTTTTCAATTCTCTACGCTACTGAATGAAAATGCAACGCCTGGAAGGTTTGTTTCACAGTCGGCGTTTGTCTTCTTCCTCCTTTTTTCCTTCTTAAACGAACTTGGGCTTTGTTTTCGGCAGCAATTCTGTCTTTTGTCTACATCGGCGTTCTTGTTTCTGCTTTTTTCCAAGAGTGAGAGAAAGAGACCTCCGTTTGCCCAATAAAACGGACAATCGTCCAGTTGACTGAGCTCTCGTGCTGTTCGAGAGCTGCGTGGAGATTTTAGCCAATCTTTAATAGCCACCAGCAATATAAAGCTTGTTTAAGCGAGAAGGAAGAGAGAGAGATGTTTTGTTGCGGTTTGACTAAAGAAAAAAGCGGGAAGAAGACACAGATGAGCAAAGAAGCTTTGGTAAATTTGGTTCTGTTGTGTTCTGCAACAAACTGCGAAGAGGAAGTAGAATGGCTAGCGAAGGACGAACTAGGGAAATTCAAGTGGTGTGACGGGAGAATGAAGGTAGATTTAGGAAAAAAACGAAAGATGCAATTGACAAAGTGGCCTTAGCGGCAGCATCAACAGGGCAGACGTCCAGGAAGGGTATTATCTGTAGAAAAAAATAAAAAGAAAAAACAACAACAAAATTAGAGGATTTTTCAAAAAACAAATGCTGTGCGATAAAGGAAGAAGAGAAAGAGAAAAAAAGAATAGAAAAACTAAAACACAGGTGGATTCAGACGAGTGACAGTACCAACAACAACAAAAGCAGCAGTAGAAAGAACACCAAGTGCGCGATATGGCGGATTTAGAGTGGCGCATCAGCTGCATCATCTGAAAAAGCCTTTCTACCTTGCTGCACAGAACACAGCTTTAAGCTGCTGCTTCTGCTGCCGCCTTCCTTCCTCTTTCAGGCAAACTAATGACCGTATTTGCTATCGTATTAGTGCAATTGATGACTGGCCAGCACGCAAAAGGCCGTGTGCTCGAAAGGGGGGATAGAAGAAAAGCATGACATGCTGCTTCAGAAAAAAATGCAAAAAAAGAGTACTGCCACAGAAAAAGAAAAAGAAAAGAAGTGATGGTGGCCCAAAGTTGAGTTTGTTGGCGGTGAATGAGCCGAATCCTTTCTCTGTGGTAGTAGTGGTGGTGGTGGTAAGCAGCAGCAGTCAGATTGATATCGAGTGTTCCGATACGACGACGACGATAGCATCACCGACCGAAGAAGAAGGCCGAAGAAGGACACCATATGCAACACACACAGACACAACAATATTTATTGCCATCAGATGCGGAGACGGTGCACACACACACACTGTGAACACGGCGGTGGCGATGGATGGCCACCACTCACCGTGGACAGCTGCTAAATGTTTAGTTTAGTTTAGTTAGAGATAGAGAGGGAAAAGGAGAGAGGGTCCATGTGTGTGTGGTGTGTAGTGTCAGTTGAAAAAGAAAGAGAGAGAAAGGAAACAGATGAGTAGCAAGTAGTCTGAAGATGCTGGAGAAATAGACACACTGGCGCGACTTGAAAGCGGCAACATCAGCAGCAGCAGCAGCTGAACGAGCCAGTAAAGGAGCCATTTGACTGGCGACCAGTGAACACATAAATTAAACCCCAGTGTGTTCATTAGAGCCAGTTTGTTAAACATTCTTTTATTTCACTTTAAGGAGAAGGCAATAGAAAATAGCTTAAAACTAATGCGAATGCTTTCTTGCTTGATGAATCGACAAATTAAAAATCTAATTTGTGCGCAGTTTAAAACACTGACTTGCCAGAACTAGCGACTATTTGCGAGAATCTGCCTGATTGATAGAGAATTGGCTAAACAACGCAAAATTGACAAAAACAGCGTTTTTATTTAGTTTTGCGTTGTTTTTATTAGACATTTAGTTGAGCAATATAAAAACAAATTGCTTTTCAATCGGGTTATTATGAAATCGATTATTAATTTAAACTTGAACATTTTTGGTTAGGTTATGAAATAAACTAAAAAGTCTGCAGCAACTAATTTTAAAATTCAATTTTTTTTGCATTTGCACCTGCATTAAAATAATTTAAAGTACATTTGTTTGGCAGTATCAAAGTCAACTTAAATAGGCACTAAAAAAATTACGCGCACTAAAGTAGCAGTGAATTGATTAGATTTCAAAGGAGAATGAAAACAACGAGTGGCCACTTGAATGTGCATTGCACTGAAAAAAACTTAATCACACCGGTTCTGAATACGCTCCAACGAGCAATTTTCGCGTCATTGAATTTACTATTTTGACATTAAAAAAGAATTTGCTTATTTGCAACTCATTTCACTGAAAAAACCTGAGAGAGCTCTTTGCAATGGGTTTGCTCGGCTGAGTGTGCGGATTGGTCGACTCAACTAGCCTCAACCTAAAACTCGTGACTGTTTGTCCTCTTTGTCCACAAAACTCGTGTGCAGCATGTTGACTTTCTCCGGTAGTAGTAGAAATACCGATCAGTGTGATGCCGGCTTGCCATTTTAGTCTCTCTGCTCAGTAATTCTGGTCAGTGTGGGCTAAAAGTGTGTGTGTGCTCAAGGCAGCAGTAGTAAAGCTCCCTGGTACGAGTATTGTGCGCGCGTAATCAGTGTCGATATGGGAAGAACAAGCCACGAGCCCATTAAGCATCGATCGAGAGTGGCTGGCAGAGCACTGAAAGCAGCCAAAGCCCGAGCTTGTAATCTCATTTGCGCCAGAGCTGGGACCACTTGGACCATGAAGCCGAACCAAGCCAAGCCAAACCGGCTAGCCGGCGGTCCTGTCCCGTTCTGTCCCGTCCTATGAGTCAGCGTGACGAAGGAGGCAAGCGACCGTGGCCGCCACCACCACCACCACTCTGGTTCCCCTGGTCTGATGCTGCTGCTGAGAAGAAGAGAAAGAGAAAGAAAAAGTAGTGCAATACACCGAGCTGAACAAGCAGCAGCAGCAACAGCAGTGGCAATTATCTCTAAGTGGTTCTCATTGTGGCTCAGAAGAGGAGGAGGAGGAGGAGAAGAGGAAGAAGGACAGCAGTACTAGTTCGGATTCATCAACGACACACGATGACAGGCGCATTGATGAATGAGGGCCACAGTAGTGCAAGGGGGGCAATACCGGGCACATAGACACAGAAACACAAATCGACCCTGGAGATGCCAAAGAGAGAGAGAGAAAGAGAGAGAGAGAGAGAGAGACCAGAGAAAACAGTACTGTTGCTGGTCAGAGACATTGGAGGCACACACACTGGAGGAAAGGACACTGAGCATCAGTGACACGAGATGATGATGATGGGCAAACTGATCGACGATCGATCAAAGTGGGCAGTCAGCCTACACACACACACTCACACTCAGACAGACAGTACGTGCAGATTGGACATTGACCACCACCACCANGGAGGAAA